AGGATTTGCATTTTTAATTTAAGTTTTGAAATGGATTTGCAAAAACGAAAAATTATACGAAGTTGTGACTCTGTTTGAAGTCAGTGGCTAACTGATACCAATCACCTGAGTGTAGTCACTATTTATACCAAATTCTTTTTCTTAATTGTATTTTCAATCGCGTTCTTAGTGCGTGTGTTTTAAATTATTAATTCCTAAAATGTAAAAAACACCAAAACTCATTAAACAATAGCACCATTCGACTGGTGAATTGAAGGCAATCACTTACTCCTGACAAGGTCGCTTTGCAAATTCCAGAGCCACCCAAGCGCACAAGCCGTTCAATAGTGACTAAGAGACCCACTCGCCGACCAACCCAGTTTATGACAGTAACCACTAACAACACATCACCGTTATTAGTTCAACACCTTTGTGCTATATTAAGTAGTTAACTTCATATTGTACCTGATTCCATTCACACTTCAATTAAGCGATCAACACTTGCGAGCGCTTTGTTGGTTCTATTACTGTTTCACGTTTGGCTATTAAAGCAACCGACGAAAATATACCAAAATAGACGAAATAAATATATTCAATATATTAATATTTTTGTTAAGACAATCAAATTACTAAGTTTGAACTTTTATATACAAATTAATTATTTGAAAGTTGAAACAATTAGTATAGTGAGGATAGTAAACGGCCATTCTAACATTTTTAATAATATTTAGTTTMATTTTTTAATGAAACTTAAGCTTACATATCTCATTAAGAGACTGATATGGTCTATTTAGGGCAATGATTTGTGATTTTACGAAAACGCTCGGATATAAATAGCAACTTGAAACAGCAATTCGACATCAGTCAAGCACTGCACTAAAACAGAATTAGTGAACATTAAAAGTTCAGCAACCGAGTTTTAAATACAATAAATCTAAGAAAATGCAAATCCTCTCGTGTATCGCCTTCACCGCTGCCGCACTCTTTGGCGTCGCTTGCGCAGGATATATTCCACATGGACACGCCTCCAGTTACGCCTCGGTTCTTCAACACACTGATGGACACTATGGTTATGGCAGCCACGACCACCACTACGAGCACCACGAACCCCACCATTATCCCAAGTACACTTTCGAGTATGGTGTAAAGGACGCACATACTGGTGATCACAAGAGCCAATGGGAGCACCGTGACGGTGATCATGTCAAGGGTAAGTTGCTTTTACAATATATACATATTTCAGCCGAATTATTCTACCTTATTCTGTCCTCTAGGAGGATATACCTTAGAGGAAGCTGATGGCACCACACGCGTTGTGGAGTACACCGCCGATGATCACAACGGCTTCAACGCTGTTGTCAAGAAAATAGGTCATGCCCACCATCCCCAGGCATATCACCATGGCGCTTATGGTTATGATCATGGTCACGCTGGTAGCTACTGAGCAAACTCTTTATCGAATTAAAACGAGCTTAATGGAAAGGTTGTTTAAATGAAACTGTGTTGTTTGGACCAAAAAATTATGTACTTTGTTGTTTATTATATACTTGTATGGATATATACAAATTTATGAATAAAATTTGAATTAAAATGTGAATTAAAACTGTTACAATTGTTTGGCGCCTTGAGGAGAGAGTTAATAAAGAATTAGAAGGCATACCTGCGAATATTTGCAATGATTTCGTTGATTTGGTCACCGTTCTTCCATCTATTGGTTAAATATAAAGGAACGCATATTTTTGTCTCATTTATGTGTTATTTTTCGCATAGTCAGACTCACTTGGAAGTAAAAAAATTTTGTGCGAAATTTTCACTTTTATTCTGGGGCTTTTTAATTTTGTTTTATTTTAAGTTTTCGTTTTGTTCTTTTAACAAAAGGAATTTAGTTTTGTGGCTTTCTAATTTTATATTGCCGATTTGTTATTTTTATTTCGTTCTTTGACATTTCGGAGCTATAAATTTGTGCCGGTAATCTATAGGTACCATATGACTAAAGCGAACGACAGCTCAATGTCGCACAGAGCAGAATGGAGACGCAGATTTGATGCGAAAATTATTTCAATCAGTTTTTTGCTTAACAGAATATAATAAATAAAATTGTTGCTATTATTGTAAGTTCAATGTGCAACCGCACCGCTAAAAATGTATGTAGATTATTTGTAGCGCAGGGTGTACCTTCCAACGACTAAAATACACATACTTCAACCGCTAATTGCCTAAATACACATACATACATGAAACGCATGAAAATAATTTTAACAATTCTTTAAATTAAAATAAAAAAATAATAATAAAATAAAATATTGAAATTCAAATGCTAAATTTCATAGCGCATCGGTTGTGCGTGTTCATTTTATTAAACAATGCGCGAAAAACTTGCCGTTCAAATTTATTCACATTTTCTGTTACTTAAATTGTTGTACACAGTTAATTCTATTTCGACTCGATTCTTGAAATGTTAGTGTTGTTTTTGTGTATATTGAAATCGTGCTGTATTACAAGTTGTTCGTTGGCAAGTGGGCGAGAGCGAATACCCGCATTCTCTAAAGAACTCATGCACATGTTTCCATATGTATGTGTGTGTGTAGTAGATGAGATTTTCTTTATTTAGAAGAAGCAATTACAATTACAATAACGGATTATTAATTCTTCAAATATACCATTAATTTAATAAAAAGGCGAACTTAATTTGAACTCAACTCTAGCTGACTATGAGAACAGAACGAGCAGTATATACGAGTATATACAATATAAGTGTGAATCCTAGAAGAACTTTAAATTATACTAGTTTTATCATCTTCGGTTTACTCCTCTGAGCTCGACAATATTTTAACAAAAAAAAAAAAAAGAAATAGTTTTCCATGTACAATGGCTTTTAAATACAAACTCAGTTAAATTTAATTTTATATCATTGAGTTCAATGTTTGATATATTTTTACATAAACATTCCATTTTTGCGGCAACATTTTTTATTACAACTCACCAATGCCGCCAAAAATGTTTAAATTTCGAGTATAAATTTTTCATAGAGCTTTTCGTTTGCTTGCCAATCTTTCAAGCAAAGGCGGAAAATAGCAAAAACAAACTTTAAAATTAAACAGTTCACCAACAAATACGCAAGTATAGGCCGTAATATTGGAAAACTAATGAAGAACATCGAACTGCAATTTTATAGGATCATTAAAAGCCAATAAAAATTGTGAGCGAAAGCTATTCGCGTACAGTTAGCATCAACAGTATAAGGAAATCATAAGAGCAGACGCACGAGGAACTTTCGAATTGGTTTAATATCCATGGGTGTTTGTAAACGTGTGAATCTTTTAAGGACCAACTCCAATAAAGTCCTACAAATGCATCCATATACACATGAACCGATAATTGGTGCTCCACCAAGTTTGAACTAGGGTTGTTATTAACCATTGTCCTTGAGATATGTATAAGACGTCTTATAATTGCATAGAAGTTGCATCATGTCTTCTGAGTTATGCCACGCCCTGCTTAGCTATAACTAATAGCAGGACAAAAGAGGACAAACAAAAATACAAATTTATTGCATATATATATTCTCCAATATATACTTATACTTATTATAGAAAATAATCTTATAAAAAATGCGTAGCCTATGCAAACCGAAATTGGATTTAGTAAAACCAGAGCATTTTGAAGAGTTTTTTTTTGCTAAGAAAGCCACTTAGATTAAGGAGTTTTCTTTTGATTGAGCCAATGAAAAGCCATTTGCAGCATTCATTTACCTTAGGTGCGCATGTAAGAGTCATTGCCTTAAGGGGTTAGGGGTAGTCAGTGCTACGAAAAAGTAAGAATTTTTAGTACTTTTTTTTGCTATTAAATCGTGTAATATGGCATTATTTATATTTTTAATTTCCGAAGTTATAGTTGTTTGTGTTGACCCAGTTCCAAAAAAGGTACTTGCGGTGACAACCATAAGTCCTTGTAGATTCATCTAAAATCAATCGGACAAAAAAATTAGTTTTATAAATAGATAAACTCAGGTCTGATCGAATACGAAGGACTTTTTTATTTTTCAAAACTCAAGAAAATGGCGGCCTCAGGAATTTTTTTTTCTAAATTTTTGGGAAAAAATCGACAGTTAATTGGTCTTAATAAAGTCGACACTTTTGGAAAAATAAAAATCCTTCGATCAGGCCCGAGTTTATTATGTATTTTAAAGGCTGTATAAATTTCATTAAAATCTACTAAGCGGTTTTCGAGTTACAGTTGTCACCAGTTCAAAAGTTTTGAGAAAAACGCGTTGAAAGTTGTTCTCTTTGTTATTTGTCGAATAACTCAAAAACTAATTATCGGATCAACGTGAGAATATTTTTAAGATATTACAATTAACGAAAATGCAAAAAAAAAATTTTTTTTTGCAAATTCTGACTACCCCTAACCCCTTAAGCATCCACTCATTATCTAAAACTAATACTACCTCAAAGTCACCTCAAAAAAGAGTCAGTTATCACCTTTTCCAACCAACCGGTACTTTACCACTTTACCAGCTGCGCTTAAATTCGTTTCGTTTTGTAAATAATAAGTTTTTCAAAAACTAGATATTTTATTTCAATTAAGTATTTCAAGTTTTTCAAAAAGGCATAAAAATTTCGCTGAACCATAGAAAAACAATTTATTCGAACACTTTATACCCTTCACTTTTCTTCAATTGATTATCACAYAGAATTCCACAAGCGGAGCTGACTCAATTCAATTTTCCGAACGCAGGCACGGACGGTACACACGACTTTCATGGAATTAGAAATTCTCAAAACAAATTTTCGCACTGCGAACAAATATTCTCTCGATTATTACACACCACTGATGCCCAGACTAAATTGGGCACTTTTATTTTAATTTAAAATACGAATTGTTGCTTTATTTACATGCAAAGGTAGTTTGCATTCCATACTTCCCGTTGAAATCACTTTGGAAATGTTCGAGTCGCACTTCTTCTGAAATTATTTTCGCAAAACTATTGAGGTCCGGCTTGCATGTATTTATGTGTCTCTGTTAGTGATTTATATGGCCTATGAACGTAGGTTTTCGATCAAATAATTAACTAGATTTGCTACGCGTACAAATTGTGCGAAAATTTTAGTTTTTCCCCGAAATGCCGCGGCGCCGCCGAGCCTGAGAGAAAATCGAAATAAGACTGAAAATTCGCAGATCCGCAAAGTGTGTGGCGAGTGCGAGTTTGGCTGCCCGGCTGCCCAGCTGAGGCATAGCAACGCGGTCGGTCGGGCTGCTGCCTAGGTGGCAAGAGTGTTAGCCAAATTAGCTTGCGCTCGCTGGCGGCGACAGACGCTGCGTCGCAGAGCGTTTTAGCACCGCCAGAGGCCTCAGTTAGAGTCTTTCGACCGCTACGAAGTGTAAAACATATAACGTGTACACAAGTATGCACACTTTATATAAACCAGGGTGTGTATAACTATATAGATGTGTACAGGGCAGCAAAAGCATTGGTATTTATGTATGCTAGAGCGAATAATTGCTTAGCTGTGTGTGCTCAGCGAAGGAGTCTGCAGTTTATGCACACCCAAGGAGCTCACTGACCGACCGACCCACTGCCGGCACGTTCGTGCAATTGTAAACAAACATGCTGCCGGCGTTGGGCAACACCGAAGCTGCGAGACACGCAAGTGATGGGGCGTATACGTGATATACACAAGATGCTCCGATACACATAGCGCTTATATATATGCGGATATATTCATATCTATAACATACATATGTACATTGCGAGATGAGTGGGTGGCAGGGGTTGTAGCGTACAAATTTGCCGCCCGCTATTGCTGCCGAATTGTTATTTAATTTATATTTTTAACAATTTTCGGGTTTTATTTTTATTTCACTTAACAACAGCAACAAAACCGCYGCCATTGTATTATGAAATTTTCAATTCAAAAAAAAGTAAAAAAGAAAAACGCGAATTTCGCGGTGTATGTAAGTCCGTGTGCTTTCAAATTGAGTAGCGTTTGTGTATGTATTTTTATATTGTGGCGCGTGTGCGCGATATACAAGTACATGTGATCATGCAGACAGCGACAACAACAACAACAACAAATAAATAAATCAAATAAGATTTTTTTTAACGCAAAATCAGAAAAAATACCGAAATCCTAAAAGGAAGTGAATTGAAAAATCAATTTTACTAAATTATATTAAATAAATTATGGGCAAACTATTTTGCCTAGAAGGCTATATCCAATAGATWAAATGTAATTATTGCCTTTTCTTTTCTCACAAGAATGTCGCATTCATGCTGCACTATGTTTGGGCTGTCAAAGTTGCATGTTCTTTTCTCGAAATGTTTCCATCTAACCAGGCAAAGGTGCAACATTTCCTACCCCCTCAAAACGCCCCTTGAATTTACTTTGTGCAAAAGCTTGATCTACAAGTATATATAGTACTTTGAAACTTTTACACACCATAAATATTTCTAAAAAATTAGCACAAAGTAAAATATGTATTGGAAACTGCAAATGCTTTGATCGATTTATCCTTATCATCATCAGAGAATGAAATAAGGATGATAGTTGTTGAAAGAGATTCCCTACCCTAGATATGAGGCTGGTGCCTCCACAACGGGGTCTCAAGTCTCATTGAGCCTATGTGCTTATCGGAAAGTCAGTATGATGTCTTAATAAAATTAAATGAGTGTGTTCGCGTTTTTTTACGTCACCATACAATATTGCATTAAAGTAGTATTCTTTCAGATATATTTTTGAAAGACATTCTTGGAGAAATTATTTCCATTTAAAATAACTCACATTCGAACCCAGAAACTGCGACCCAAATTCTGAGTGTTGGAAGCTTCATAAAAATAGGCAAAATCTACAGCAGAATTTTAAATTACCTCTAATCGAAAATTATTTACACAATTTCGAAGGGGCAAGTATACGCGCTAACAGCAGCAATAATATTGTGCAAATTCGCACTGTCAAATCATTTCATTATTGTACTTGCTAAGCCWACAGCAAGTAGTGCCGAGTGGAAAGTTTGTGGGTGGCAATAAGTGTACTTGAAGCGGCGGGCCTACGTATGTGACAACCCAATTGCGTACAACAACAAAGTCGTAATGRAAATTATTAAATTCCAAGTTGGTGCTTTTGTTTCATTTAAAATTGGCTTCTTCGTTGTTTAAAATATTCCAATTATTTATAGTTGTAGTCTCTATAGTTATGCTTAAGCTTGTCATTTCGCATACCAGACAGCAAGCTGCGAATGACGTGCCGCTGACATAAGCACGCACAAAAACAAGCACTGCTACACTTGGCGAAAAATTGTTCTCATAATACATTGTTTTTATAGTTATTATTAATATTCATACTAATGCTTTGCAGTCTCGTTTCCAAGATATTTCGGAAGAAAGAAATTATTAAATCCATCTGCGTTATAAAATTGATGGAATTGTTATTTGTAAGAAGAAAACGACGTCACATCTTTAGTTTAGTTGGAATCACATGCTTGCAAAATCAAGTCGCAGCCCATTAGTATAAAGTTAGAAGCCTAACAGCTTTTAGAAATTYCATTTTACTGAAAACGAACTGTTAGAATAGATGGAATGTGGAAAAGCATTTGGAGAGTGCTGCGAATGAACTATTTAACGCGCGATTGTTCGCGGATCGTTCGCAAAGCTGTTGCTACAAATATTGCTGTTGACAGCAGCTGAGCTGCTCAAAGTTTGGCCATTAGTGCCACAACGCGAATATGAGCGCACAAAGGCTCCAATATCGACCATGACACACCAGGGTCGCGCCCTTGTTGCGCTGCCTTACAACTGGAGAAAACCAAATAAATGCTTTGCCACTGCATGGAAATATATTAGTAATGCATATCTACACCGCACTGTCACTTCCCTCCAACAAATTTGTTTGTTGTCGAATAAGCCCACTTTTGGGCACTGCTAATGTTCATCGTAGCATGATGCGCATATATTTATGTTGTTGTATGCACATCTATGTATGTTGATGAGTGTGTTCGCGTTTCATTCGCATCTATTAATACTCGCGAAATATGTGTCGCCCAAATTTATTGCGCTAGTAAATTCGTCCGAAATGGCACACAACTGAATTTATGTTCATTCTGCGCTTCGCCTTGTAGCTTTTTTGGAGCGAAACCGATCATTTGGCGTTATTATTGTCCATTTTTTATACTCCTACACAGTGTGCAGTACTAGAGTTTGCCCGTTTTGTTAAACCCAGTGCTGTTTGTGGCAGTGGCAGGAAGTTGAGTTAGGCATATCATCATTGTAAATCAACGGTTTCTGTCTTCGTTGGAATATCGCATATCTGCGAAATATGCACTTGAAGCTGGGTTCCGGAAAATTAGGGCTGAATCTGAAAATTTTAGTTATTATTCCTCGTCAATATTATAACCATTTCAAATACCAAACGGCTTGTCGACGTAATCCTTGAATAAGACTATGTTTATGGGTATGCTAGAAGTAACAAATTGCGCTTGTTGTCATTGTCGATGTTTTCTGCACTTTCCAAAACAACGCTTGTCCAATAAMKAACTACTTATCAAGCTGCTTCATCTAGGGCGTCAACTTTCCACGAATAGCTCGTTAGGGGATTCAGCATTAATCAAACGCCGTGCAGTCCCACCCAGTGGCAATTATGTGTGTCTGTAAGCGCGCATGAAACAAAAGCCCTCTGCGCCGCACGTTAAAAAAATAGAAATATAAGTACGTACATTCCAGCGCACTTGCCATCATCAGCATTCTAAAGAATTTCACGAGAATCTTTGAYATCAGCTTAATTTTTTTCGCCACATTATTTATGCCGTTATAAAAATTCCAATCGCCTTGTCTGCTCGAAACAATGCTACTTTTATCTAATAATAAAATCGTCGCATAAATTGAAATAACTCGCAAAGCGCATGCGCTGAGACAGCGTTGGTCACTCAAGCATTGATTTTTCGATTATTTCCTTTGCTTTTGGACCACCCTAAACTCACTGCAATAACCTTGCGAACGCGAACGCGTGTGCATGTACATATACTTTTATTTGCTTCCCCGAAATCGTGCAATAAATCTTCCTCCGAATACTTCCACAGCTTCCCTTTAATGAACGCTTGGCGTTCCCTAGATGTGATTGCCGAAAGCGATGATGAGCTTAGCACACAGAACTCAAATATTTGCTACAACATGTGTTTATATGTATGTATGCGTAGTAATCCGCTCTTGATGTAATGCGGAAGGAACCCTCGGAGTTTGTTAGCTATTAAACCGCAAACTGGTTCAATGTACTGGGGTACATGCTGTGCGAAATATGCTAATTAAGGCGAGTGTATAAAAAATTTGCAACTTTTCGTCTTCAACTTCATTCATCTTCCGACTCTTTTTCCAAATCAGCACACACACTTTGTTCACTTGTTTTTATACCCTATAAAGTATATATATATATATAAGTGATCAGTATGTTGAGCCGATTCGATTTAGCCATGTCCGTCTGTATATACATATACGACTAGTCCCTCAGATTTTAGGATATCGTTCTGAAATTTTGCAAACGTCATTTTCTCTTCAAGAAGCTGCTCGTTTGTCGCAACTGCCGATATCGGACCACTATAACATATAGCTGCCATACAAACTGAACGATCAGAATAAAGTTCTTGTATGGAAAACTTTAACTTTTGGCAATGTATCTTCACGAAATTTAGTGTAGATTATTATCTAAGGCAACAATGTAATATCCGAAGAAATCGTTCAGATCGGTTAACTATAGCATAAAGCTGCCATACAAACTGAATGATCGGATTCAAATGCTTGCATGGGAAACTTCCTCATTTGACTATATATCTTCACGCAATTTGGTATGAGTTATTGCTTATAGAAATAATGTAATATCCATACAAACTGAACTCATAGTTACTAAAAAAAACGCACCTGTGATGGGTATCGGTGCAGCCGAMGTAAACGTTTTTTCTTGTTCATTCTAACGCGCTCCTCTATACATATCTATGAATGTATATACGGAGAAGATAAAAAAAGTAGAGCCAATTGACAAGGTCGTTTCTTGGCCTACCCAAATTCGTGAGGTGCTAAATTTGCTTCGGAAAAGATGTGCCAGTGAAATTAGCATATTTTGTTTGATTATGAGCTTTGGAAACACGCCCAAATGAAGCGCT